CGAGGGGGTTGATTGTCCTTGGTGACTTCAATACCCGCGTTGAGACAGACCGTGCTGCCTGGAGAGAATTGCTGGGTTCCCACGGAAGCGCCGGTTACAACGACTATGGCCTCCTCCTCCTGCCGACTTCCGCAAAACACCGCCTTCTGCCGATGCGGAAGAAGGCCACCTGTATACACCCCCGATCGTAGCGCTGGCAGTCGCTGGACTATGTTCTCGTTCGGCAGCGAGATCGACAGGACGTGCTGGTGACAAAGGCGATCCCGGGTGCCGATGGGTGGACCGACCATCGCCTCGTCATCTCCAAGATGAGGATTCGCCTACAGCCTCGCAGTAGGCCACAAGGTAAGCGACTCCCAGGTACGCTGAATACCGATTTGTTGTCTTTGCCTGCTCACCGTGTGCATTTCAGCAATCAAGTGACCCAGCGGCTAGGAGACCTGTCGCGAGGGACAAGACTATTTCACCTTTGACAATCTATTCCCGTTTTTCTTGTACCGAATTTTTTGTTTTTATGTGACGGAAACAACTCGGCTGAACAGCCCCGCTTTACGGGCGTGCTCCGCTGTCGCGCTCTCCTGTGAGGTCATTTTACGTTCTGGATATCACTAACCGGTTTTGTTTACTGCTCTTAATTCTTAGGGCTTGTGAGATACGTTTTGTTAGTTCGTGAGAACATTATCATTTACGTCATTGGTGACTCCCACCGTTAACGCAGAATTCATAACTTTTTTGTGATATTAAGTTAAATTTTACGTACTATTTGCTTGTGGATTTTTATTCCACTTACGTCCACTTTTCTCACGAATTTTCTCGATATTGTGCCACCTCTATCTTGCTTATTATGTCACCCCAACCACCAACTTAATGCCTCCTCCGGGTCCCTTCATGCAGACAAGTTTACCTTGCCCTCATTCTGGAAACATGCTCCAGAACGTTATTTCATCTGCATCGAATCAGCCTTTTATTCTGCCAACGTTACCAAGGAGATGACGAAATACCACAAACGTATGGAGGTTCTCCCCGCTAGTGTTATCTCCCACGTTCAGTCCTTGCTATCTAATCTCCCTGAAGATGCTCCCTATTCCACGCTAAAGTACGAAATCCTTCGATTTTATGCTGTGTCTGACCGACAGTGGTATCACCGGTTGATTACGGGGGAATCACTGAGTGGCCGGAAGTCCTCAGAACTTCTACATCGAATGCGTTCTCACCTTGGAGACATGCAGATTGACTGGAAAGTCGTCAGGGAAATGTTCCTAGAGCGTCTGCTTGCAGGTGTTCAGACGATTTTGGTGCCCCGTTCTCAAGATCTCACGGTCTCACAACTGGCTGAAATGGCGGATCGAATGATAGAGGTGCAGCGGTTCCAGCCGCTCTTCGTTGCCTAGATTTTTACATCCTCTTCGACAGTGAATGAGCAGTTAATGAAGCGGATGAGCTGGCCTCCCTTAAACTACAGCTTGTCCGCCTTACTTCAGTTGCTCACCTAGCCGTCGTCGTTCTTGCTCACGACCTCAGACTGCGGATATTTGTTGGCATCATAAAAATTTCGGTGCAAAGGCCCGTTGCTGTTCCTTGCCCCTGGGAAACCACTCAGCCAGAGAATAGATGTGACCGTTTTCTCTGGCTCCCCCGGTTCTAGTCGCGCCTTCTACGTTTGCGACACTGCGACTCGCAGAAGCTTCCTTGTGGACACTGGGACCCAAATCAGCGCTGTCCCCCCAACTCCAGCCGATCGTCATTCCCTCAACCCTGGTCTTCACCTCCAAGCTGCCAACTGTTCCCCCATTCCCACTTTTGGCAGTCTGTCCCTCAAACTAAACATTGGCTTTCGTCGATCTTTTTCCTGGGTCTTGGTGATTGCGATGTTCCACATGCGATCCCCGGCACGGACTTTCTGGCCGAGTTCGGTCTCCTTGCTGACTGCCGATGTGCCAGACTCCACAACCGTACGACTTGTCTCTCTGTGCATGGTTTAACTCCCTTCACTACCCCCCGCAATTTGTCTGTCTTGGATAAAGCTATTGCTAGTCCCTTTTGGGAACTGCTCCTTAAACATCCCAACATAATCAGCCCTCAGTTTCGCAGTGATGAGGTTCAACACGACGCTGTGTACTATATCTGCACCTCACGTCTTCCCGTTGTCGCTCTGCCTAGATGACTGGCAATTGCCCGTTTTCAGGCCGCGAAGGCGAAGTTTGAACACATGCTGCAACAGGGAACCACCCAACTGTCCGCGGACCCCTGGGCGTCCGCCCTGCACATGGTGCCCAAGGCGACATCCGGTGACTGGAGATCCTGTGGCGACTACCGTGCCCTCAACAGCGCCACCATTCCTGATCGGTACCTTGTGCCTTATCCTCGGGATTCTTCTGGAGTCTTTTCGACAAAGCGGTTTTCTCGAAGATTGACCTGGTGCATGCCTTTCATCAGGTTCCGATCGGCCTTGAGGATATCCCCAAAACTGTCATCACTACATCTTTTGGCCTCTTTGAATTCATCCGCATGTCCTTCGGTCTTCGCAATGCCGCCCAAACGTTCCAGAGATTTATTGACCATGTCTTACGTGGCCTACCATTTGTGTGCGCCTACACTGATGACCTCTTGGTGGCCAGCCGGAATGAGGAAGAACACAAAGAGCATCTTGCCTTGGTGTCTGACCGCCTTGACAAGTTGGGCGTTATCATCAACTCCTCAAAGTGCATGTTGGGTGTGCCTTCGCTCGAGTTCCTCGGCCATCAGGTCGATTCTGAAGGTTTGCGTGCCCTCCCCTCCAAGATTGAAACAGTTCGTAATTTCCCTCTACCAACTTCTGAGCGTCAGTTCCAGCGATTCCTCGGCATGGTTAACTTTTACCACCGGTTCCTGCCGAACTGTGCCGACCTCATGCTGCCACTCACCAACATGTTTTCTGGTCCGAAAAGTCCCCTTGAGCTTTCTGGTGACGCAATGACTGCTTTTGAGAGAATCAAGGCTTCCCTTGTTGACTCTCCCTTGCTCACACATCCTGTTCCTATTTCTCAGGGTTGACGCTTCGACCGTTACCGTAAGAGCAGTTCCCCAACAACACTTAGCCGATTCCACACGACCGTTGACCTTGTTCTCTAAAAGCTGTCACATGCTGAGACGAGATATAGTACCTTTGACCGTGAACGTCCTGCCATTTTTCTGGCTGTGAAACACTTTCGACATTTCCTTGAAGGTCGTGACTTCAAATTTTTCACGGACCATAAGCCACTTACATTTGCTATACGAGCGCATTCAGACAAATACAATCCGAGAAAGATCGCTCACTTGGACTACATTTCCCAATTCACCACCAACATGTGGCACTTTGATGGGACGAAGAACGAGGTGGCTGACATGCTGTCCAGACCATCCACCTTGGTGTTTCATCTCTCTCACGGGATTTACCTTAGTGCCATGGCGAATGAGCAACGGCGTGTCGGTTGTCCGGGCGGCGAATTCGTTAGTGATCTTCCACTCGTAGACGTCCCTTTGACCACTGGTACCGGCACAATCTTGTGTGACGTCCCGACTCCTTTTCATCGCCTTTTTTGTCCTCCTCGATGTGTCGAGTTGTTTTTCAAACTCTCCATAATCTCTCCCACCCTGGGATCCAAGCCTCACAAAAGCTCCCCGCGGAAAGTTCCGTCTGGCCTGGCATGAATAAGGACGTCAGAGCCAGGGCCCGTTCGTGCTGAATTGTCAGCGCAACAAGGTGCGACGTCACCAAAAGTTCCCACCAGGCACATTCCCCAGCCCCTACGCCCGGTTCAGCCATGTGCGCCTGGGTGTCGTCGGCCCCTTGCCTCTATCCAATGGCTACACCCACCTTCTTACCTGCGTTGAGCGGTACATCCGCTGGGCTGAAACCATTCCTTTGCCGACTGTGCAGGCTGAAAACATCGTGAAGGCCTTCGTCAATCGTTGAGTCGCCATGTCCGGTGCCCCTCCGACGGTTACGACCGATCTTGGTGCCCAGATTGACTCTGCTCTCTTCCAAAGTCCTCCTCAATTTTCTTGGCTGCACGCGTATTCGGACGACAGCCTACCACCCTGTTGCCAACGGTATGGTTGAGCGTTGCAATCGCCAACTAAAGACTGCACTGCGTGCCGCAGAAGACCCAGAAAACTGCTCAGACAACCTCTCCCTTGCATTCCTCGGCAGTCGCGCACGTCGCCAGCACCAGGACTGGGTTGACAAAAATGACTCCGCAATCCGCAACCTACTGGTAGAGAAGAACAGGCTGCACGGAGACTACCAAGACCGCCTGACCAACGCGAACAAATAGGCCTTCTACCGATGTCGTCGCCTACTGCAGCAACGGTTGCGGGGGATGCAGGACTCCTGGATGGCTCGCGAGGCCAAGGAGACCCAAGCATATGCCGACCTCCACAACTCAAAGAATTTCTTTGCTGCAATAAAGGCGATCTACGGCCCCCCGACTAAAGGAACTTCACCACTTCTCAGCTCTGATGGGTCAACGCTTTTGACGGAGAAGTCGCAGAGTCTTAAATGCTGAGCCGAGTACTTCAATAACGTCCTCAACCGCCACTCCACAATCTCGGACGCCACAATCGACCGGCTCCCCCAAATGGAAATCCACGTCGACCTAGATCTTCCCCCCTCTCTTTGAGAAACCACTCGCGCCGTAAAACAACTCTCCAGTGGGAAATCATCGGGATCCGACGCAATCCCAGCTGAAATCTACAAGCACGGCGACCACCGCCTGATGGACCAAATCACAACGCTACTCCAGGGGATGTGGTACTGTGAACAAGCCCCTCATGACTTCAATGAAGCCACCATTGTTCACCTCTACAAGCGCAATGGCAACCGGCAAGTCTGCGACAATCACTGGGGCATCTCAGTACTCAACATCGCTGGGAAGATCTTCTCCCGTATCCTTCTCAATGGCCTCAACGGACACCTCGAGCATGCACTTCTACCGGAAAGTTAATGTGGTTTTCAACGACATCGAGGCACAACTAGCATGGTGTTTGACGCTCGCCAGCTGCACGAGAAGTGCCAGGAGATGCTAACTCACCTCCACATTACCCTCGTGGACTTGACGAAGGCCTTTGATACGGTGAATCTCGAGGGAGTGTGGAAACCCACGCAGAAATTCGGCTGTACTGAACGGTTCGCGCCACACGGTACGTCACCTCCACGACGGGATGATGACACGCGTCAAGGACAACGGCTCAAACTCCGAGTCACTTTTAGTGGTCAGTTGGATTAAGCATGGCTGCGTCTTCTTGCCTACCCTCTTCATTCTCATGTTCTCTGCCATGCTGATGGACGCCTGCCGTGATGAGCGCCTGGGATCCGCATCGCTTACAGGACGGATGGCCACCTCCGCAATCCACGGCGGATGTGCTTCCAGTCGCGTGTATCCACAACCACAGTTTACGAACTTCTCTTCGCCGACGACTGCGCCCTCAACACCACCTCGGAAGAGGGTATGCAAAGGAGCATGGATCTCTTCTCTGCCGCCTGCGAGAACTTCAGTTTAGCCATAAACACGGAGATGACGGTGGTCATACACAAACCGCAACCCAACAGAACCCACAATGCGTTGCAAATCATGGTCCACGAAACCCAATTGTAAGTGGTGGACAACTTCCCTTACCTGGGCAGTACCCTTTCCCGCAGTACAGTACAGTAGCCCGCCGGATTTTGAAGACCAGTCAAGCCTTCGACTGCCTTCAAAACACAGTTTAGAATCATCACGGTCTCCAGCTCAGCACAAAGTTGGAAATGTACAAGGCCGCCATCCTTCCGACGTTGCTGTATGGAGCCGAGAATTCGACGGTGTACACGAAGCAGGCACGCATACTCAACCACTACCACCTCAGTGGTCTTCGCCGCATCCTGAATCTGAGGTGGCAGGATCGAATCCCGGACACTGATATACTGGAACGGACGGGAATCAACAACATCTACGCTATTCTGAGACAACCGCAGTTTCGCTGGAGCGGCTATCCCGTGCGGATGGATGACGAGGGGCTACCCAAACGATTCCTCTATGAAGACGTCGTCACTGGTTTCCGCCACCAAGGAGGCCAAATGCGTCTTTACAGGGATACTCTGAAGTCCTCCCTGAAACGCCCGAGACCGTAGACAGTAAAAGAAGGCGCTGAGATCTACTAAGTCAACCGCATTGCCGAGGCAAAAGCTAAGCCTCAGCAAGTCTCAGCTGAGCCCACCTCGCAATGCCAACGCACAACCGCCTTCAACGTGTCCACGGTGTCAACGGACATTCTGGGCACGAATTGGACTTGTAGAACACCTTCGGATCAACTCCACCTCTTGGACCGCATCAACCGTCGTCCCTCCGTCCACCTCCTCCTCGTCCTCTACGCCGGCATTTAACTCTGGCCGCCATCCTGAACCACTACTTCCGTCTTCCGTCTTCTTCCTCCTCCTCCTCCTCATCGTCCACTACCCCAACGGCTACCGTTGTGGCGTCTACCATGCACACCAGCATTATGCACTATCCTGACACATCAACAAACACCACCACCACCACCACCGTCGACACCAGTGGGTGACTCCAGCCTGAGACTAGCCCGACGTGTCAAGCGTCGCGGATCTAAAGGCTGCTGAGTGACGCCCCGACTCAGTCCACGCAGGCTGTCAAGTAGTGTGTGTTTTGTGTGGAGTGGCTGACTAGTGGGCTGGGGTCCGAGCCGAAAGAGCTCCTTCCACGGCACTTTCACGCATATGAAAGATACGCCGCTCGACCCCCGTTGTGTGAACTGCCGGTGCTCGTGTTTGGGGGGGCCAGGTCGTGCACGTGGCGCGGGCAGATAAGGTCACAGACCATGTCAGCCACCGCGCCCATATCCCGCTCCAGTCCGCTGACCGGCTCGGACAGTGGCTGAGGCACAGGAATGGGAAGGGAGAGTGAGGTCGACGACTCAGCGCATTTTTCCTCCCTGTAAACTATCGGACGCGCTTAAAGCTATCACGGTGCGCTAAATGCCGTGGCTTGGAAGGTTGCCAACTAACGGGATAACTTGAACCTCGCAGTCGACCCAGTGTCTGTGTGCTTGTGTGGAGTGGCCGGCTGGTGGTCTGAGAGTCAGGTTGCAACGGCTCCTTCTTAATGTGGTCTTCATGGCACTCCCACTGAGTGGGATCCGAGTCGGGTGTGGGCGGCCTGCCTAGGTGCGGCCTCGGCCGTGACAGCCTCCGTTCTGTTTGTTGTTGTTGGTCAAAAACCTGGTTATTTTTTGTGTGGACCGGGGGTGTGGGAGGGGGACGCCAAGGTGCGGGCTCGACCGTGTTTTCCATCTGCCCCCTCCCTCGTCTCCGGTCTTCTTGACTCTGCCTTGATACCGGGTCCAGGTTGGGGAGGAGGAGGAGGAGGAGGAGGAGGAGGAGGAGGAGAGAGTGTGTGGTAGATGCTGTGCAAGTCTACTATCATAATAGACTAAATTTTCGCACAAGTCACTGTCCCTGCCCCAGCCTGCTGTGGAGCACACGGTGGACATCGTCGAAACCCACGGTCGAACTGTTGTGTGTGTGTGCTTTATGGACAGCGCCTCAGAGTCGACAACTGTTTGGTTACTCAGCCTTGAAGGATGACGGCCCAGGCAAATGCAAGGTCACGTGTCACCCTTCTGGGCCTAAAGCTCTTTAAGCGTCTGCTATGCCAGGATCAGCAAACCATGACCCTCGTAGCCTGCTATGCGCTGGAAGTTCTCTGACACCTGTCTCGCTGACGGCTGATCCGCTTCCGCTCCCGCTAGATATAGAGGTTGTGAGCATATCTGCGCAATCATCCCCCTCCTTCTGACCCTTCACGGTGTTGTTGTTTTTTTTGGCTAAACTCTTGATCGTTTGTTGTGTGAACCAGGGGGACTCGACCGCGCCATCCACCCATGCCCTGTCCCGCCTCCGGTCTTCTTGACTCTGCTCAGGTGGGGAGGTGGAGAGGGTGCGGTAGATTCTGCGCAAGCCCACACTCACTATAAATTAATTCACGCGCAAGTCACCTTGCCCGCCTTACCTGGCTTTGGATCACACGGTGAATATCGTCGGATGCGACGGTTGAACCATCATTCCCAGTCTCGGATTTTGATTAGGGGTACTGCTGGCTTAAGTGGACTCAAATAACACCCAGATAGTTGCTGTACAACAGTCGCCACGTCTGTCTGACCAGCTTGACCATTTTTCCTTTGGCCGACTTGTGACTTCATCGGTTGTCAGCTGTTTGTTAATTCTGTGCTCCTATTCGGAGTTTTCTTGCTCTGCGAAATCAAGTACATCGTTTTGTACCTGTTCGCGTGTGCCGAGATTGTATTTACTTTACAGGTTATGAAAGTCTTAAAGCAGTTGGTTTAGGACTCAGACACTTGAAAATTATGATCAATTGGACCAAAAGGGTCGGGTTTCTGTAGCATGTAGACGCTGTCGACCTTAAGACTGTCTTGTTGCTGCCCCGTCTGGCTGGTGCGAATCGATATATTTGTCCAAGTGCGACAAGCGAACGCTTTTGATGTCCCGGTGGCACCGATCGATACATGCGTCAGCCTGTGACGGACGCAACTGCGTAGGCGTTACTTTGGCCTTCTTCCTTGCGCCAGAAACGTTTGGGCTCCGAGTTGCCGCTGGTCCTCGTGATGGCTGGAGCATATGAACCTCTCCGTCTCTGACCTGTCTGGCTGAGATAATGGCGTGCGACTTGGTGTGCAGATTGGCGAATTCTCTATCCGAAAGCCAGGCCCGCAGGACGGGCAGTTCGGCTAGCATATTTTAATTCACGACATCAAGAGCAAATGCGTCCCCTTTCATAAGAAATTTTTACTAAGTCTAGTTGCCATGCTAGCAATCGACCGCCCAGGTCACAGCCAAATTAACCACAGAGGTCAGAGTCTTTAGGTTGCATCACACGTAGTCGGAGTGTTGACTGTGGTCTGTGGCTTTGACTTCCCAAGATGATTTAGGTTCGCCGTTAAAGTCATCAGGGGCGCACAGGATGCTTTGGCAATGAAATGAAACGTCACAAAAACTCCAACCTGTGCCACTATACCTAGAAGGAAGCAGACGCAACCGCTGGGGCAGGACTTTTATTCGTCATATGTTTCGGATTCGCTCTCCAAAACATCGTCAGACATAAAAACAAATAGGAGCAGCTGGACGCAGAAAGGCCTCAATATTTACACAACGCTGTTGTCAACCCACCGCACACCCATCTTGATTAGCATCTGGGCACAATGATCTGGTTGCCGGAATTTGAGCTAATGGCCGCAGTTTCATCACCGTTGTTGGTTATTGGCGTGATAGTGACTTGGCAGTTTGACTCACCGATGCTGCCGCAGGGAGCAGTGTTCACCCGCACTCTCCCATATGACTAATTCACCGCCCAGACGAGATTTCGGCACAGAACGGAGAGAGGTTAATTGCGTTTGTTAATAGACTGTGGTCCAGATAATCATAAGTACAGCAGCTCGTCACTAACACGGTTGTTACCTCCCGCGAGAATTTCGGCCTCACCGAATTAAAGGGTGTGCCAGGGTCCTGTCGAGTGACCTGCGAATGAACGTTGACGTCATTCCTCCCGACTCTACTCCTGGGACTTCAGCCATTCGCGTTCAGACTAATTTCTCAGATTTTCTGACAGAGTTGACTTGTCCGTAACTTCACCAGAGTCGGCAAACGATTCCAGGCGTCTCCTGTCGTAACTACCACTCTTTCAACCTCATTGCTTGATGTCCGATGGTTGCTTCGGGTCTGTGTGCAACCCCAACTCCAAGTGATATGAGAAGATGGATGGCGTCTTTCAAAACGTTCTTGAAGGCGGTCGTCAAAACGGGGGTTCGGATTGGTTTGAACCCTTCTCCCATCTTTGCATGTACCGATTGATTAAGTTGCGTTGGCAGGCATTCGCCGTAAGCACCGATAGAAGGTGTTGTGTTTCGGTCACCCGGTCTTCTGATGCACCACAGAGCGTCTCAAAAAGCCCATATAGCACGCTTACGCAACTGCGGTTGTGGAGGATTAAGAGATTACTGCTGGACGGTCCCAACAACGAGTTTCGCTGCAGATGCACTGGAGCGAACGGGGGAGGGGGGCGGATCGGATCACGGTACGCGATAGTCAGGCTGCGCGGAGTTCGCACGAGCTCATAACTACTGCCGCATGTCTAGACGTGGGCCCTCAGGCCGTGCTAGTCACTGCTTTTAATTCCGTTACCAGTTGATAGATGGGGTCCTGAACAGCCGACTTGCACATGGAAGAAGGGAGAGAGAGAGTGTGTGTGTGGTCGAAACTTGTGACTTCATCCCCGCGGAAAATGAGCGCACTGTCCATTATAATAAAGCTAACGCGCTAACAGTCGTGGCTTGGAAGGCTATCAACTAACGGGATAACTCTATCCTTCTCAGAACTGAGAGTCAGGCCCCCGGGCTCCCTCTTAATGTGGCCTTTGTGGTACTCTCACCCGTGGGGGGTCCGAGTGTCCCTTACGGAACTTTGGTATATGTATTGGGGACCAGGTCGTGTGTCGCATGCGGGAACGGACTGCTTAGCTTTGTCAGCCACTGAGCATGTGTCCACTTCCGGTCGTCTTGGTATTGTCTTGTCATCAAGGCAGGGTGAGTGAGCGGTGAGTGAGTCCGGTGAGTGCTGTGCAAGTCTGCACCCTATAAACTAATTCACGCATAAGTCACCGTCCTTGCGCCCACTATGCTGCGGGGCGCCTGTTGGACTTCGTCGTTTGCGACGGTCGAGCCGTCAGTTGTTGTTAAAACTCAACAAGGCTGACCGACCGCTTTCTCCTTCCTTCAACGTAAGTTGCATTCAGAAAGATGGCATTGCGTAACACCCTTTGAGTCTCAGAGTTTGATCCTGACCGATGACAACGGAAGGATCATCCGCATACCAAGCCCGAAATTCTGGCCTTTTTGACTCGGAAAGCCAGCGATTCCAACCAACGCAGAATCTCTTCAACTATATGCCCCAAATTCGGCTGACCATTTTGTGTTACATTCACCTGATCGTTGGTTATTCTGTTGAGTGTGAAATACATCTCGAGACTGCACACCTGTACGTCTAACTTCTTCACCTATATAGGCCTCTAATGATGAGCTCTAGTGAGAATCCGAAGAGTTAGG